CTCTCAGAGCAACTGGAAAATAAAATTTTGCAGAATAATTGTAACAGAAATTATAGTGTTCTGTTGCATTCTGTCTTCTAGCGAAACAAGCATACAGGCTTAGAGATCCAAGGAAAAGATCAGATAGGTCTGTCAGTTGGTTGCAGGTTGTGTTGGTAATGGATTAATGGTTTTCCTTCTGAGTTGAAAGCTGGAATGAATAACCTACGGTATTTATGTTCATAAAGTATCACAGAGCCAGTGTGGCATAATGGTTTGAGTGCTGGACTATGACACTGTAGACCAGGGTTTGATTCCCAGCTTGACCATGAACCTCACTGGGTGTCATTGGGCAAGTGACACTCTCTCAGCCTCAGGGGAAGGCAATGGCAAACCTCCTCTGAACAAATCTGGCCAAGAAAACCCTATGATAGGGTGGTCTTAGGGTCTCCATACGTCAGGAACAACTTGAAGACACACAACACAGACACAAATGATCAGATCTTTCAGCTTCCTGCTTCCTCAACGAGATAGATGATCTAGATTAGATTAGATTGGCGGACCAACAGACAGACAATTTTCCAATAGATATCACCAAGGAAGCCAGATGCTAAAACATTTCATGCTTTTTATAAAACTTTCAGGTTCTGTCTGAAAGTAATACAGTTTAGTTGCTTTTATCAGATAGAGGGAGGGAGTTATTTTTTATTTCTTTATTATTATTATTATTATTACAGTCTATTTATATAGCACTGTAGATTTACACAGCACTGTACATACAGTCAATAAAATAGATAAAAATAGATTAAAAAGCCTGCCGATGGTGTACATTCTACAAAATAATAAAATACATATTAATACAAAGAAGGCAATAAATTAAAAACATGAAATAATCATCATGCAATGCCTGCGAATTATGAATTATCTATGGCTGAAATCCTGTATAACTTATAACTTTATAGGTGGACTGCGGGAATTAAAATTAGTTGCGTAACATCTGCGTCCAGTAGAGGATTGCTGTTATGTTACTACATACCAGCAAAGTGCCCAATGCGCATTAGTGCACAATGCACAACAGGGCATGATGTATGCTGGTATATGGTTATGTTGGTACATAATGTGCATAGGTGTAGAACAGGGACCGGCAACCTTTTCGAGACCTGGGCTGGTCTCCTGTAGCCCAGGTCTCAGCTGGGCCAAGGAGGGGGGGGCGCGCGCACACGCACCCTCCACTGGCGTGCGCGGCACCCCCACATGCCGCCGCTGTGCATGGCATGGTGGCGACGGCATGTACGGGGGGGCGTGCGCATCGGTGGAGGATGCGTGCGGACTTACCGGCCCAG